AAAGCTGTGAATTTTTTTTGATGCAACCATTTGAATGTATCATACCTATTCTAAGACCCAAATTTGATCTTAGATTTTTAGAATTGATGAATATAATGTGAAAATTTTAAATTCTTAAAATAATAGTTTATTAATTTTTTTTTATAAATAATAAGTTTAAACTTTGATCAATTTTCTAAAAAAAAAAAATTCAATTTAGAGTGTTAAAAGTATTTTTAAAAAATCCAATTCAATAAATTAACAAATAGGAGTTTTTATTATATTATACTTGTTAATTGTTTTTTGATCACTTAGCATTATCTGATAATTTATATAGATCTATTATTATATTATGTGTAATATCTAACTTTTAATTAAATCAGCTTGCTGGCTTTTAATAGGTCATTAAATAAATAATTAGAGAAAGAAATGATAAATAAATTAAATAATATAATTTGAATTTACTGTACATATTTAGTATCACAAGAAGTTTTAATAATTAAAAAATGATTATTACCATTCATTAAAGTGCAGTATGTCTTTTTAAAAATTGACAAAAAATTTTTTAAATTTGAATTTATTATTTTTTAAATTTTTCTAACTTAATAAATTTTAAATTGCAAATTTATCTATAAAAATCATTAAAAGGTAACTTTTTAATAAATTTAAAGTGATAAATCATCATCATTCAGTTTATTTCTCAGTTTTAATTTAACAAGATAATAAGCTCTTAATGATCACTTGTTCAACTTACATAAAGACAAGAGTGATATATTAGAAATCAGAAGAGACTTATTAAATCAACTTAGAGATTTTTACTAGTACATGAATTATTATCTATACAGTAAAATAAGAAAACAACATTCAGACAATCACTTTAAATATTTAGAATGAACACACCTTATAAAATCTTTTGATAAGTCTTGTAGAATTTATTATTGACCATCTGAAAACTCAAGCATTCAATTTCAAAGATTTTATCAGTGGGTTCACCAATAATATCATGTATATATATATTCATCTTTAAGTGAACAATATTTTGAAGAAATAAGACAATATTTTGACATTAATAATCCTCGTAGTTTTAACACTGAACAAGCAGCAAAAGCAACAATATCTTTGATATTTAGCCTTAGATTTATGTGTTACTTTGAACCAAAAGTAATATATCAACATATTCTTATTACCTTACATAATAACAATCACTTCGATTATGGAGAAATCCCTTCACTAAATCCTGCAAACATGGCTATAAAAGTAAACCAACTCAATGCATTGATAACGCAAATTACAACTAGTATGACCAATAGATTTAATGGTATTAATATCCCAGCATCACCTGCAGCAGGAAGTTCTATTGTAAAAGTCAACCTTTTCTATGGAAAGGATAGTAAAGATGCTCAGAAATGGATTGAAATGTTATTAAAAGCGAAAGAAGCTAATAAATGGCTAGATAATAGAAGAGTAGCAATTGCAATAGAAATGTTAAAGGAAGAAGTAGCTGACTAGTATAATTTAGTAAGCAATACTATTAACAGATAGGATAGAGATGCAAATATAGGATTTAGAGAAAGATTCTTAGCACGTTTCTCATTGCAAGAAAAATTACATAGATAGCAATATGAATTAATAAACCTGAAACAAGAAAATAAAAAGGTTGAAACCTATGCATCTAAATTTAAAAAGTTAGCAAATAGAGTAGATGCAGGAGGAATTCCAAATGCTTTTAAAGTGTGAATATTCTTAAGTAGATTAAATAAGGAATTTGCAACCTTAGTCGCAATTTAAAATCCAGCTGATTTAGATGTAGTTATTACTCAAGCTAAACTGTTGAAGCCAGAAGGTATTATGCAACAGAACATGATTTTAGCAAGCCAAAAATTGAAGATGAAATTGAAAAATTATCTAAACAGATTAAACAAATGGCCTTGAATCAAGTAAATATTATGGTTGCATTAACCACTAATCTAACTGAAAGAAAAACTTATAATCCTGAAGGCAAATTAAGGAAGGAATTAATCTGTTTCAAAAGTGGTGAAAAAGGTCATATAGCTAAACGATATCTTTCAGAAAAAGTCTTACCTCAAGATAACTAAAGAACCAGAAATGATGACCAAAATAGAAAGAAAGTAAATATGCTTGAATAAGAAGTTCTCTCAGCGATTAGAAGGAAAAGATCTGAATTACAAAGAGAAACTAATAATAGATGAACTCAATCTCAAATAATTAATTAACCAATAAAGATAACTGAAAAGATATCTTAAACAGTAGTAGACAATACTACTAAGCCTAGGAAGAGAATACATATAGAATCATCACTTTTAGATAATATTGAACCTTACAACATTTGAGATGATCTTATAAATATTAAAGCTAATGTTAATATAGACAAATGATGCAATTCAGATTGCAGCAACAAAAACTCCTTCAAGGAATGAGTAGAACTAAATTAGAAGGAAATGCAGCATTTATCAGCACTTTAGAAGAAGAGGAACGAACTATAGCATTGAGATGT